CATAAATTGCAGCGGTGTGTACTTACGGGTAAATGGTTGTTGTGTGTCTGGTTAAAACAAGTCATATTTTAAAGTCGCACTATGAGATCATCAACTATTGTCTTTGGGGTCTTGGGAATGACCATGTAAAACATTTGATTGTATGAATACTGTACTAGAACAATTTGCTTATTTCGTTGACATCTAAATGTACTAAATTGAAACCCAGTAAGAATAAAATTATTGTTTCCTCTAAAAAACACTCAGTGAAGATCTATGCGCGTTCAAATTTGCTAAAACTAAACCCAGTGAATATATCGTCCTCTATGGTATGTGGGAAATATTTGAGGAGTCCTTATATTTGTCTGTTTTTGGGATTATTCTGAAGTGAAAGAATCAAATGGGAAGTTGAAATAATCGCCAACAAACTGTTAAAAAACTTATAACACTATACTATATATATGTGAATTGTTTTACATCACATAGTTTTATATTTCTTTTTCATTCATTCTACAATTATTCAAACTAATAACCGTTTCTACATGCTCATCAGACATGACATGGATCCTAATGCAGGGAACCAGCCACAGATGATGACTTTTAAACAGTTCCTAGCTTCCCAAGATGATTCCATTGATGACCAAGAAGCGGTTAGGAAATACAACGAATATAAGATTGAATTCAAGAGACAGCAAATCAGTGACTTCTTTCTTGCCCACAAAGAGGAAGAGTGGTGAGTCTGGACTTTATTTCTGTCGTAGACAAAACTGATCATACAAACAGATAGTTGTCAGCAGAGTTTGTATGACAGCACTACCAATTATGACAAATACAGTCAAATTTTGAAATAATTTCTGTATGTCAGGAATGAGGGATCTTCTCGTATTTTCAATATCAGCTAATTCATATATATTGCCCCTCTGGCCAAAGACAAGAAGCAGATATGTTTTGATGTAATCTATAAGATGGCTTGATTTTTATGTGTTACCATAGTAATTACTAATTGTTTTCTTCTCAGTCATACTGGACATTGGAAAGTTCCGTTGTTGAACTTTTTTCTCGCGATCGCTCTAATCAGTCAGTCAGGTCACTGCGCACAATGCAGTGTTAGCTTATTAAGTTGTAGGTTTAGCAAGATTAAGCAAATCAAAAAAAGAAGTGAAAGGTTGAAACAAGGAAGAGACTTCTGAGACAGCAGTAACACGGTGGTAAGGCACAATGAACATGATGTTCAACAAAGGTAGAACTGGTTCCGATGAACTTAAAAATGTTGCATTTCTTCTGTTGGTGTATGCTTTGCCTGCCAAAGATATTCTTATTGTGTATTACACTACTATGTAATGAGTGATTGTGTAGATGGGTGTATTTATATGTGTGTCTTTCTGTACATGTTTCTCACATTATGCAACTGCTTTCTGCTATTCTCCAGTATTATGAAGTTTTTATACTCCGGTGGCGTCATATTATACAGTTTGCATGGGCTTGTATAATATCTTTTTATATAAAAACACACTAAATTTCACATTTTTTTTTCGTAATGAATATAGTGTATAGAATATCAGTACTCTTCTCATATGTATGTCCCAGCATACAGGCTAATTTGCATATTAATATTTGATGTGTAAATTTATTTTTTTACAAATGAAAGTTACTGAAAATTTTACAAAATCTGAAAATATTTGCACAGAATTTTATGCAGGAAAAATATCTGGTTGCATAGGGTTAAGGAGAGTGGACTTATTTTAAAAAATTCATTTGGATTAACAATCAACAAGATTAAAGATCTGAAAGGCCCTAGCAGAAATCCACTACTCTTTGCAAAGAGTGTTGTCTAGGGGGGGGGGGGTCTTTAATCTGCACCTGGGATAGGAACCAATTATTGACCGGGTTTCCCACACAAATTGTTATTACACTACTCTCAGCTGTGATGTTGATAAAATCTAGTGCCTGTACTCTGTAATAACAATGGATGAACACTTGTCATAAAACCAGTCAACTAATAAGGAGTAGATTGATTGTGAGCAATAGTATAGCATTTACATTAAATTCAGTAGACTTGTAACTAGGTCAAGTTCAATACCTTTGAGTTCAATACTGAATATCAATCAGCATGTTAATTGGTGCTGTTTTAAATAGTTATGAAAGTATCAGATCAATTGAAAATTGGAAAATGTAGTCGTAGTTGCAAATGTGTGAAATTGTTCTTATTTTGTTCACTGTAGTCCTGTTGATTCAAATTACATAAGGGAAAGACTGTATTATTCATTGCTCTGTACCACTCTTTTGGTTAGATTTTCATGGTTCATTTTCTTTATTAACAGGTTTCGTTCAAAGTATCACCCTGAGGAGTTTGGAAAGCGAAAAGAAGAAAGTTTGAAAGCTCTGAAAAACCGTAAAGACGCGTTTTTTGACTTGTATTACAAACAGTGGTTGGATGCTTTCTCTGTGGATGCTGATAAACAGGACGATATTGTTCGATTTCTGGACGCAGGTGAGCAATATATAACTGGGAATTGATAGTTCAGTACAGTCTTCAAAACAGCACTTACAGCATTTCAAAACTAAAGTCAGTGATTTTTCATTATGCGTAACACTACAATCACCGTAACATTGTAAGCTGATGGCATTGCGTTGAACGGGTATTCACCGCTGCTGTTACGATCATCGGTTTCTGACTTTTTGGTTTAAAAATACACAAATTTTGAATGTTTGTTAATTAAAATGATTCATTGATGAATATCTTAGACATTACATCAAAATTGCCAACGAGATGTTTTAAACATCGCGGGG